GGATCTGTGCTAGGAGAATATTATATGGTGGGGCAACTGGACTTCTGGTTGGCTCCAGAATTGAATGGGGGAGCTTTTGGTTAAGGCATTTATGGCTCTTTTGACTGTTTAAGGTTGCCAACCTCTGACCTATCCCTTCATTCCAGTTGCATCTCCTTCTACCTATCTCTAAAATGAGATGATTTTCTCTGTGGGGCTCCCAAGGTGCCAATATTTGAATTTCCCCAAGCTGGACCTTCCTGTCTCTTTGTTTTACCTGCATCCTCATTTCTTCAGGAAGTCCTTTTTTTCTGCTCCTTCTTAGGTCAGCTACGCTTTTGCTTCTGAAGCTCTGAGTGATAAAATCCAGTTCCCATTTGTCTATCGGATGGTCCCCAAAGAAGAACATCTGTACCACATGATTGCCAAGTTACTCCAGCACTTTGGGTGGAACTGGGTCAGCCTTGTTTCTCCAGACACGTATAATGGAGAAAGGTTCATGAGGACTTTGAGCCCAGTCTTAACCAGGAATGAGATTTGTGTTGCTTTCTCGTTGAAGATCCAAGGACACAAGGCATTCCCATTATTGCCCCTTGAAGCATTATTCATGTGGAATAATGTCACTGTCTTCATTTATTATGCGGAGGTGCGTTTCTTTTACGGCATCATAAGAACTTTACAGGTCATGGTGACTACGATATTTAAGATCCCCATTGTGGGGAAAATCTGGATCACAACAGCTTTGTGGGACCTGACATTGAATTTCGCTTATGGTATTTTTGCCAACAAGGAAATCCACGGCCTTTTCTCTTTCATGTGTCATCAGGAGAAAAGGGTTACCAATGACAATTTTCAAACCTTTTTTGATACCATGAACAAGTTTGGATTGGCAGCCTTTGAATGTGTGCTTTCAAAGGCTCCATTGTCAGTCAAATGGAGGAGAAGATGCAAGAAGCAGGAGATTCTGGAGGTCCCAAGTGAAGAGTTTGTGGAGAGGATTTTTTCCATGGACAGCTACCGCATTTCCAGTCTTGTGCAGGTTGTGGCAAGGGCCATCGATAGGGCCCGGTCTTGGAGAACCCACAAGATAAGACCTGGAGGTGAAGACGGGCTGAGATCACATAGTATTCCATCATGGCAGGTAGAGGGTTTTTTTTTTGTCCTGAGAGGTCATTCTGCTTTCTTGAGCTGCCATCCAAGGTTGAGAACCACTGAGGTGTTGTGGTGAGATAATTTTAGGGGGTTTCAAAGAAATCCATTTTGTAATTTCTTGCAGAACCTTCTGTTTCTCATGTCTCTTAGGCTGGGTCTTCATGTCCCTGAGACAACACTTGGACCAATCTACCCTACTCATGTTCCTTCACCTCCAGAAATATTTTTCTCCTGCCTAATGTTTAGGTTATGGAAAGTTCTGTGATTAAACCATTGGGAGTTGCAAAGGTGCTTTTTCAGGAGGCAACTTGACTTCCTTGTTTTTTCTTTTCTTTTAAAGACGTTTCTCTTCTCATCCAAGAAATTTCTTCAGCTCTGACAGGTCAGCAGGGAATGGAAGGATTTATATTCCTTGCAGCCAGCTGGCCATTTGCATCCTTTTAGAGGGTCGTTGAACCACTTGGAGGGTTTTTCCTCTGGAAATCCATTCCTACTCCTACACTATTCAAATGGTGTTCATCCCAAATTGTACAGCTAAAAGTCCAGAGGAAAAAATTGCAGACTACAGGAACCAGGAGCACTCCTCAGGTGACCCTGAAGACGTAGATAAATCTCCAAGTGCTTCAATGACCCTCTAAAAGGATGCAAATGACCAGTTCTCTGCAAGGAACACAAATCTTTCCACTCCCCACTACACTATCAGAGCTGAAGAAGCTTCTTGGCTGAGAAGTGAAATGTCTTCAAAGAAAAACCAGAAAGTCCAGTTGCCACGGTCACCTATTTTTCTTAGATGCTGCTGCTGCTGNAGTGAAAAACAGGGGTGTTTTTGCCTTACCCCAGCCCTGCTGAAGCCCGCAGAGTGCTCCTGAGGGCCTGGAGGACAAAAACTTTTTTTTCTTACTTACCTCTTTGAAATCTTGGTGCGTCTTATACACCGGTGCGTCTCATAGTCTGAAAAATACGGTACGTTGGACCAAAACTCCCTGAACCCTCTCATTGAACTTTCATCTTCCTCCATTCTGAGAGAGAGGGGGGGGGAGAGACAGGGAGACAGAGAGAGAGAGAGACAGCGAGACAGAGAGAGAGAGACAGAGACAGATCTGGATATCACAGGAAACATTCAGCTTCCCTGTTGCAATGATCAAAAATAATTGAATTGTGCTCCCCGCTGGAGCATGAGGGATTTTTTCTGAAGTTGATTCTCTCGGGATCCAAGAAGACAAACATCAGGAAGCAAAGTGAAATTGCTGCTTGAGGCTTCCACCCAAGAGGAGAGAAGCAGTTCTTAAATAGCCCTGTCTCTGAACAGGTGGTGCTTTGCTCATGCAAAGCTTCATTGCCTCCTACTTGATCTCCCTGCTGCTGGATTCATTCTGCCCTGCTGAGAAAACTGTGCTTTTTGAAATGCCATCAAGGGTTGCAATGAAGAAAGGGATTCTGGTGGACATAATCAAGTCCCAGAAATTTCTGCTGTTGTTGCTTCTGGTTCTGCTGTCCAGTGCAACCGGTGACAGAAAATGTCTCCTTAATTTCGTCAAGGACAGCAATGCTGTCTACACTTACTATCAGTCAGGAGATCTCAACATCGGTGGGATTAGTTCTGCCACAACAGTTAAGCTCAAGCCAGCTGTCTTCTATAAGCCTCCCGTCACCAGTCTTGAGGGGTATGTCATAAATGTTCCTCTGTGGTTTCTTTTTTCACTCCAAACCACCCTGTCCATCAAGGATTATTTTCCCCAGCTTCTTCTGAGGGGATTCTTGAGGTTTTGGTTTTAAGATTCTATTTAACCACAAAGAACCAGCACTTGTGCTCCTAAAGTAACCCAAGACCACATGTGCTGTGTTGCTAAGAAAGGTCTGCCTTGGTGTCTTGTGGTGTTGGTGTTATCTCCCTCTTCTTGCATGTACAGTTGAGATTGTTCACTGTAGTTTGCAATGCAAATACACTGCAGTTGTGTATAGGATTGTGCATTAAAAAGAGATCCTGTCATAAGTTGTTCTGCAATGAAAATGATCAGGCAACCCCTGTGTTTTACTTTAGGGTGGGACCATTTATCTTCTGGAATCTCCTGTCCTTCTCCTTTGCCACCGAGGAGATCAACCAAAACGCCAAGCTCCTCTCCAATGTCACTCTGGGCTACAACTTCTATGACAATTATTACGAGGCTGGGATGACCTACGATGCCATGGCAGACCTTCTCTCAACCGGGGAAGCCAGCGTGCCCAACTACAGCTGTGGAAAAGCAAGAAATCTCTTGGCGATGATTGAAGGAGTGGAGTCGGAGGCTTCCAGTCAGATTTCAATCATGTCCAGCATCTACAAAATACCACAGGTAGGAATCAGCGTAGTCTGGAATTGGGTTCTCTGATTGGCCTCAAGAAGGGTGCATGGGGATGGTTGATCTCCCCTTCTGTCTAAAGAAGGAGAGTGCTGGGACCAGACAAGGACAGGAATGCTTGGGGATCTACCTATATATTCTACCCTTTTGACCTTTCAGCAGTCCAGTGTGTTCCTGCACTGAGTTTTATTTCTTCAAATTGTCCCAGTGAAGGGCCTTCTTGTGCTCCCTGCTTAAGTGCTCAAATGTAGAATAGAAGGATCGCCAAAGGAAGGGTGTCCTGCCTTCACTTGAACGTATCTCTTCATTTTTAAAAACATGGTCATTCTATAACTTCAGTTCTTTCATCTTCATGTGCATTCTGGAACGTCGTTCCATAGTCAATCTTCCGATCTATCCAAAGCTTCCATTCTTTTTTCTACAGGATATTTGTTCAATTGAGAAAGAAGAAATGACTAAGCTTCTTTTTTAAATAATATTTTTATTTATATATATAAATATTTTGAAAACAGTGTATTGTCCAGGCATTTCATTTTACCAAAAAAGCAACAGATGTAGTAGTAGTAGCAGCAGCAACAGCAGCAGCAGCAACAACAACAACAACTTGACTTATAAATAAAATGACTTGAACATTCTGACTCTACAAAAAACCACCCTACTTGGAACAACTTATATCCTACGACATTACCTTAACAGTTCCTAGGTCCTTGGTTAGGACTTGAGCTGTTAGGCTACCAACCAGTCCCAAAGGCTGTGAATCTCACCAAAGATTAACCACATCATCATCATCATCATCATCATAATAATATACAAATCTGATTGATACCTAGGATGCTGGAAGCAACCTATATCAGTCAACGGTATTTGTGATGCATTTTTTGAATGTTCAGTTGCCTGAGTTTCATGTTTAATGAGTATAATAATATACATATTAATTATAATAATATTAATAGTTATATTAGCTTATTTATAATCATGTTCATTATACTAGCATATTTATATTATAGACAATGCTCAGCTTTTACATGCACATAACAATCATCTTTCTTCATCTAACCTCTATCCCTTATATCTAACGGTTGATAAAACCTATCCCATGTTGAGTAGAACTCTGTATCTCCTTTATCTTTTATTTTCAATGTCAGTCTATCCATCTTACAATCCAATATCTTCCAAATTATGCTTTCATCTGATGGGATGCTCTCATTTTTCCAATACTGTGCAAATACAATTCTCGCTGCTATCAATACACGTAGCATTAAGTATATAGTCCCTTTATCATAGCTTTCTGGTATTATACCTAACAGAAATATTTCTGGCTTTAAATCTATATGCTGCTTAATCATCTGTTCCAACATGTATGTATTTTTGTCCAGCATTTTCTTGACTTCATACATGTCCACCACATATGTACCTGGTATCGGGCTACATTTCCAACATTGGGCAAACATATTTTTTAAATTTGTTGCTAGTCTTCCCAGTGGCAGATGCCACCGATAGAATATTTTGTAAAGGTTTTCCTTATAAACAGTAGCCATTGTCTGTTTGTAGTTTTTATCTCAAAGTTTTTGCCATTTATCTAATTCTATAGCATAGCCAAAGTTTGGCTGTGCTAAGAAAGGACTAAGTTCTAAACCGTATAGTTGGGGTGTTCGGTTTGGTCCGGTTTGTGAACCAGTCTTTCTCTTATTTTCCCTCTTCTCTTTCTCTCTCTCTTTTGGAAACTACAACCTACCCCAGGGGTCAGCAACCCACAGCTCTGGAGCTGCATGTGGCTCTTTCATCCCTCTGCTGCAGCTCCCTGTCACCGGTTGGTATCACAATTGATAGGGCTTTTGGTTAAGACAGGTAGAGGAAAAAGGATCTGTGCTAGGAGAATATTATATGGTGGGGCAACTGGACTTCTGGTTGGCTCCAGAATTGAATGGGGGAGCTTCTGGTTAAGGCATTTATGGCTCTTTTGACTGTTTAAGGTTGCCAACCTCTGACCTATCCCTTCATTCCAGTTG